CATAACAACAATTTATCTAAAGATGACAAGTCTTAATTGAGAAATAACAAGTCTAAATTTGATATAACAAAGTAACTTTTCCTTATACATAACAAGAAATAGCATATATTTAATTAAAAATAACCATAATTTATTTGAAAATAACACGTCTTTACTGGAAAATAACAATTTATTCGGTATTTCTTGTTATGTATAAGGAAAAGTTGCCTTGTTAATATCAAGTTTAGACTTGTCATTTTCCAGTAAATACGTATTATTTTCAAATAAATTATGGTCATTTTTAATTAAGTACATGCTATTTTCTTGTTATGTATAAGAAAAATTGCTTTGTTAATATCAAGTTTAGACTTGTCATTTTCCAGTAAAGACGTGTCATTTTTAAATAAATTATGATCATTTTTAATTAATGCACATGCTGCTATTTGTTATGTATAAGGAAAGTTGTTTTGTTAATATCAAATTTAGACTTGTTATTTCTCAATTAAGACTTGTCATCCTCAAATAAATTGTTGTCACAAGTTGGAGTCACAGTAAAAGAGTTAACTTATATTTTTATTTGCATTATAAAATTAAAAAATCTTTGATGGCCCAATGGCCATCTTCCCTTTTGTTGGTCTAAGTGGCCAAGGGATTGTGGGATCAAATCCCACCTCCGTTTTAAACCAATATTATCCCATTTCAAAAAAAAAAAAATCTTGTCACAAAAATCTTTCACCGGTAGCCACCACACTGGTGGCCGGCATCAATGGCGAGAGGCGGGGCCTGATGAGGGAAGCAAGCTCTAGAACTCGTTTGGTATGCTGGAAATTCTGCAATGAAAAAGTACAATTTTGATTTTTCATAGATAAAGCCCGTTTAGTTGCAACATTTTTTACCTTTGCTCACTGTTTTAAAGAAAAGTTAACACTTCTAATTTAGTTATTTAGTTTTATGATGGAGTATAAATAAAAGAGTAATTTTAAAAAAAACCAAGAAAACACAATATTAAATTTAATTATATATGCATCTATTATATTAACTTTTCCAATCATGCACTAACATATGCCTTTAAATATTATTGTTAAAACTATAAATTCATACGGCAAAAATAGAACACGTCTATGTGTGACTGAAAATCTTGACATAAAGGGTGTGTTTGGTTGGAGGGGAGGGGAGGGAAAATGAGCCCCTCCCCTCATTTGGTTAAAAATTTTGGAGGGGAGGGGAGTTAAAATGTCTCCTCCCCTCCCCCCATTTTGGTTCCCCTCCAAATTGAGGGTTTTTGAAGGAGAGCCAAAATTTTAGACCATTATGTACTTATGGTTTTTTTAATATTCCACTTCTACCCATAAAATATATTATTATAATATTTATTTTAAATAAAAAATATATACATTATTATAATTAAAAATATATTATAAAAATTATTTAAATAAAAAATTATAATATTATAAAATTAATTGTTTTTTTATAAATATATTATTTATTAAATATATTTTAAAGCTGGAAAAAAAGATAGCTTAAAGAAAATAAAATTTCATTTTTCTTAGAGCATATAAAATTTGTTAATTTGATTATTTTAAATATATTATTATATTAATTAGAATAAAAATTACTATACCAATTTTTTAATACACATATTAACATGATAAGATTGAATTTTTATTAAATTATATAATTTAAATTAAGATGTAAATTAATTTATATAATATATCAATAAAAAACATAAACTAATATATAAGGGTAAAATGGTAAATTGATTATTACTATCCTTCCCCTCCCCTCCTTGAACCAAACAAGGGATCATTAAATATCTTCCCCTCCCTTCCTTTTTAATCAAACCAAACAAGGTGAGGATGAAACCTCCCTCCCCTCCCCTACCCCTCCCCCCCTCCCTCCCTCCCTCCCTCAAACCAAAGACAAATAACCTCCCCCCCCAAAACAATGGACATAAAGTTGATGGAAGTATTTTCCATATATAGACAAGAATAGCAAATATCAAATTATGCAGATATCAGTAATATTTAAGGTAAATTTCAAAGAAATAAATGTGTTAAATCTGTTCTTAATTAAAGCAATAGAAAATAGGAAGTAACTCTACAATACCAAGTGATTTTACTTTTATATAGGATATCACTAATAGTTACCAATTAATAAGATTTTATTTTAAAATTCAGAATTCCCTTCTTTTTCAAAATAAACATAAATCATATAATTTGACATCCATTTACATTGGCCTCAATAGTCATCTCAGTGGTCATCCCGACCATCCCTCTTTCTCTTCTTTCTCATTGCCTCACGTCTTTTCTTGCCCTTCAAGAAGACCCCATCCCTCTTTCGATTCGGAGCAGGCCTTATAATCACTCCGGGAGGAATATCTCTGGCTGCAGATATTTTTCAGTCAGTGTTAGGCAAAATTATTATTTCCTCTGGTCCTAATTATAAGACGTATGTAGTTTACAAATGAGACCTTACAATTAGAATTGGAAATAGTGTTATTAACAGAACTAAAATTGTTAAAATAAAACTCACGATTATATAACATGCCACAATCAACGATTCTAACCGCCCAGTCAAAACTAGTCTGTCCAATTTCTCGTAGCGTATCCATGCCTTCCACAAGCTTCCCGAAGACCACATGAGTCCTGCAACAAGTTGCAAATAACAGTATTAGTATATTAGGAAGTTTGACAAATGTAACGTTTGCAGACCGAGCATTTTATATTGGAGGGGGGGGGGGGAGAAAAACAAGAGTTAACCATATATATTAACCTGTCAAGGCTTTCATCAGCTCTCAATGTGATCAAAAAGTGAGAACCGGAAGCTTTTAATTCTTTTCTGGGCATAGATAGGAGCCCTTCTTTATCATGTTTCAAGTTGTTTGACTCATCAGCTGAAATAAGTCACAATGTAGAAACTCTTCATCGAAATAAACATTTTGAGAACTTTGAGAAAGTATGAATCTAGGATCTAGCATTCTCACCTGGGAAATGTGGACCATAAATGCTTTCAACATCTTCCCCTGCAGCATGATTAAAAATGTGATGTAGAGGTGTAAGAGTAGACATTACATCCAGGAACAAGTAGAAATGATTAGCAAGTTCGGAAGATTATAGCAAACAAGACATCAGGCCAGATGAAACGTATAGTTGCAGTCAACATTGTAATCATGATTATTCAATGCAGGATTTATATAAAAATAAAACAGTAACTTGGATAAATTGAAGATTTATATCTAGAATGTAGTGACAATTTAAACTGAGGATTTCCAAACAGATACACTATTGAACCACTCATTTAGAAATATATCTTAGGCGACAACATTTTCAGTTGGGAAAAAATGATCAAGTTAAAATCGTCAATTGCTAGTCTTAATTCAATCCTACAGTGTAACAACCCAAATAATTTATAAATAGAGGATACAGAATTTACTTAAAATCAACATATCAATATGTAACATAAAATATATGACATGATGCATCACTCGCAATCAATGAGCATCACAGCCCATTCTTCAAATACCAGCTATGCACAAAAATATGAATCTACTTTCATTTAATAATTAGTAAAGCAATTAGAAAGAGTTAAAAATTGCATTGACAGAAATGGACTAAATGTGAGTAAATGTATTGTATCAAATTACAAGATTTAGAAAGCAGTTAAGTGTGCCATGCAAAAGCCAATGCGTCATTAGAAAACTCACCAGTTTCGTAGCTTATGGCACCTCCCTGCAAAAGGAAAACTAGCAATTAATATAGAGTCTTGATCACAGGTTGCAAAGAAAACTGTTTTGGAAATTAAATAAGATGGACAACTTAGTAAATATACGCTTCAAACCATAGCAGTACATACCTTCACATAGGAGCCACGTTTTTCACCCTTGTGAAAGAAACAATTTGCGTAACACAAAAACATCTGATTTGGACTGACACCTTTTTCTCCTGAAAGGACAGAAGATTAAATGAGAAATGGGGAAGTCATATCATAAATCATCAAAATCAAAATAAACCAGCACGTCTAAGGGCTTGTTTAATTAGTGAAACTGTAATTGCAATACAGAAGAGTTCTACTAGGGGGGATATTAAAGAAATCAGATTATTACCTGTACATAGCGCACGAAAATCTTCTGCAGTGTAAGGGGCAAGGTCATAGAATAGCTGGGAGGTCAAAAGAATTCATTAGGTTCCATTCCTAATCTCATAGTCAAAATCACAAAGTTCAAAAGATAAAAACTGCATCATGTATGATCACTGTAATTCAAAATTACTAAAACAAAAGGGTACCTCAAAAACCATCCTTTCATAGTACATCCCAGCTATAAAGACATCCATAAAAACAGGGAATTTCTCCTCCTCTGTCATTGTCAGCCTTTTTTCACTCAGAACTCAAGCCAACGAAACCACTGAAATCACAAAAGTCAGTCAAAAGAGACCCAATAATTATTGATAAGTGTAATGTAATGATAACATGTAATGTTACATCAGAAGCAAACACTGGCACATATCATATCAAAAAACTTCTGGAACATTAACAAAGAGTTGCATCATGTCTGAATATTTTTGGAGGCCTAGGTATAGATATAAAAGCCAGAAAAACAGAAAAAATTTGGAAAAAGAATAATAAACTAAAGGGAAAACAAGAACAAGAAGAATCAAGAAATAATCATATTAGAAAAATCAATAAAACATCAAAGTAAAGAAAAACGAAAGGCATTGTATTCATAAAAAGCTGTGAAAGGAACAGGCATATGTACTCTCTATTTGCAGATACTCTGTACTAGTTCTTTCATATGGTCTCGAATCATATGATCCCTACACTAAACAGGACGGGAGCTTTTCCATTTGTGTATTTGAAGAGATACACATAAGAATGTGGTTGTATATAAGAATATGATTGTACTGCATAAGACTGACATATAATTCATCTAATGCTTTGGCTACTCTAATATTCACGTCCTTTCTAGTAATGATTGATGAATAGACAACACAAAGAATAAATTATAGATAAGCTAATCAAAAGAAAAAAGGACCTTCCAAGTGATCGAGCAATTCTAAGAAATGGATATTGCATTCCATATTTTTGCCCCTTCTCACTTTATCTCTTATTTAACAGCTGTGCAGTGATTAATTAACCAAAAAATAAAAACAAAGATAAACATAAAAATTCTTGGTTCTTTGTGATAAGTTAATTTGGGATATATCTATATGTAAATATCTCGTTGTCAAGACTGAAATATATATCAGAAAGAGGTTTAATAATGGGCAGAACAAAAATGAACTGCTTTCTTGCTTCATTCACAACTTCTTGGAGTAGTTCGGCCAACAGCAGAACAAGCCCAAGTATATAACAGAGAAAATTCAACACTAATCTTAGGATATTAGAAGCAACTTAGTTTTATTCATTATTTACTTCTCCGGTCCTTAATGTAAAACCTATTTAACTAATTTGATTAGATTAAGAAAGTTAGATAAGTTAGTTAATTATAAGAAATATAACATATTTTTCTAAAATACCATAATCATCTTTTTTGATATCGCGTATTTCTCTCCTACTTAGTTATAGTTAAGGAGTATCAACAGGGTAATTTCAGCAAAATTAATAAATATAAGAAATAAGATTAATATCAACTCAATAATTAGGTTCTATACTAAAGACCGGAAGAGCACTATATAACAAATCAAAAGACTAGAGATGCCAGGGGTGACAGAACTGAGTAACTAGAAGCCGCGATCATACTTAATTTCTTGTCTCAGAGTAACAAAACTTCTTAAAAGAACATTGCCAAACTTGCTCTGCATGTTAAAATAAAAAGATACTACTTAGGATCAACTCACCACTTATAACAGCTACACGATCTAGTTTTATCTCTAGATTTTAAGAAAAAAAGCACCAATAACTGCACAAGGGCTATATGAAGTAGGACGTGCCCATAAAATCATATATATGAAACTCTTAATTCCCCGTATTGCTTTGCTAAAATTTCTTTAGTGCTGCGGCTTTAGATATCAGTACAATAATCCAACAATCCCTAAGTTCAACAAGCATAATGCAGGGTTCGAAATTACTCATAACTAATTAATATTCAACAACTCAGCAACCAAATTTTAAGATCAAACCATACGTTAGAGGTCCAACACGAACTCGGAAAAGAAGAAGACAATGTAGCACGAAGCCAAACAACAGATGGTCGACAGCGAAGCGAAGATGAATAGGAGACGCGGCCGCGGCCGCGGCGTGCGGCGGTGGAGGTCGGACTTGATGTAAAGGTGAATGATGGTGATGGGATGAAGGGAAGAGACGGAGGATGGTGTTGCTCGAACGTGATTGCCGATGGCGGAAAGGTATATATAGGTGTGCGTGTTAATATATATTACTCCCTCTGTTCCTTATTATAAGTGACAAATAACCTAAATATGTTGATAAAAAAATAGTTAAAATTAGTTAAGAACAATTAATGTGTAAAAAGTATAATTTTTTTCCAAAAATGCCCACATTAATAAGGAGAAAGAGCATGAGAGAGAACAATTAAATTATTAAAAGAAAGAAAAGTGGGAGGGAGGGAGAGTGTGAGTTGGAGATAATAAATATGGGTAAAACAGTAAATCAACACAAAAAAGTAGAGACAACTTGTAAGTGTCTCTTATATATAGGAACATGCCATAAGCATCAAATGTCTCTTATAATAAGGAACGGAGAGAGTATAAGAAACAAAAAATCGGATCAGACACTAAACCAGTTGAAATAGTGGGTTAAAGATTAATGGGTTGGATCGGGGTTAGACCGGATAAAACCAATAATAATTAAAATAATATAATTTGACTACACCTTTTCTCTTTTCTTTCTTTTTTAATTCGCCCAATGCAATTTTTTTTCTTATTATTTTATATTTTTGTCTCTTGTCTCTCTCACGTGGATGTCATAGCACATATCACAAGGCTACTTCTTTTTTCCTCTCTCCTCGTTGAATGGCAGATTACTTGTGCATTATTCTCTTTCTGAGCCTTGACGTAAGCCATTGAGCCACGATTTGCTCCCACAAGAGATAGGAGTGAGGAACGCAACGGCAGCTACCTAGGTTGCATTATTCTCTGGTTCAAATTTTGAAATTCGGTCCTCTTTCTTCATTTCTCTTTCTTTCTCAAACAGCCCTCTGCGTTTCTGTTTCTTTCTCACTTTCTGTTTCTTTCTCACACAGAAATGATAAACAGTGATCTCTTCTTCTCTCTACACATCCCTTCTACTCTATTACTTATCTTCCTCCTTGCCTTCCACTCTTCCACAAGCATGGGTTCGAAGCGCCCACAAGAGACTTCCAAATGGGTATTTCTTTTTATGATTTTTTCTTCTTCTACCACTTCTCTCAACCGTGTTAATGTCTTCTCCGGTGAACGGTGAGATGGTAAGAGTAAAAAAGAAGAAAGGAGGAAAAAAAACCGGTGACCCATCCAACCCACCGGTTTTTAACGGTTTTTTTTTGTTCTTTCCGGTTTTTTCCTGTTCAATTTGAAGCCAGTTTATTCTTCAAACTAGACCGAACTAGAGACCGGTTTTCCGGTTGAACCGACCGGTTCGGTCCGGTTTTTTTTCATTGATATATACATAATGGAGCAAGGTTTTAAAACCCGGACCGGACGGACGGTCGAACCAGCAACCGGACAATACAACGGCTCGGTTTCTATATTTAGACCGGTTAGAGAGTTGGACCGTGTTAAACCGTTATGAGCCGCCTATTAAGTTGGGAACCAGAGTTAAGCTGAGACCCGGAGCGGTTTTCAGAGAACCGTCCGGCTGGGCAAAAGAAGGAGAAGGAAGAAGGAAAAAGAAGAAGAGAGAAACAGAAAAATCTAAAAGGAAAAAAAATAGCTTCTTTATTTTTCTCATTTACTTGACACGGATCAATCGCATGAGATGGATAAAGGATGATATTGAAAAGAAGCAAGCTTGGAGCGTTTTTCCTCTCTTGCCATCGACTCAGAGGAAGGCAGTGAGCTCGACACAGGCACCCTTTGATGCGTCTGAAAAATTTACTTGAAAAGAAAGGAAGAGTAAAAAATAATAATAAAAAACTGTTCCTCTATCTTCGGTGCACAAAGGCCAGATTGGGGAAGATGAAAAGTTGTGCATCACGTTTTTCAATACTGTACTTTGCTCAGTCTATCACTTTTTTTTTTGAAAAAACTTGCTAAGCCAATTTTGAAATTCGAAGGTTATCCTTAAGCATGCATCTCCTGTTTTTATCTCACTGTAATTAATTGTTTTGAAATCTATATTTTGTATTATTTTTAATCAAAATAATTAGCATAAAATTAAACATATATTAGTGTAATTATTATAATTAATATCGTCATCTTTTATTTTATTTATGATAATTAATATAAAATTAAACGTGTAGTGTGTTTAGTATATTATTACTTTTAATCAGTATTTCTAAGTTAAAAAAATAATCTTTTTCTGTTGCAGCCCAAAAAATTTGTCAATAATTTTAAATAAAAAACTGTGTAAAGGAAATTTAAATATTAAATGAGTTAATGGAGCCAAAAATCTTTATTAAAAAATGTATAAAAAATTTTAAAATGACCACAGCCCATTAGATTAAAATAAAACCAAGGTTGAACTTGTTAATTTTTTTAATAAATTTGACTAAGTATGTTAATATAATTATATATGTATATAATATTTTTTTTAATTTAATTATTATATTACTAGTTCGACCGGACAGTTCAACTGATTCAACCGTTTGAACCGTGACCTGCTAGCTTTACCGGCTTGACATCCAGTCCGGCTTTTAAAACATTATAATGGAGTGTTCATGGGGACTGGCCCGTCTGTTGAACAATTTTATTCCTGTCCGTTCCGTAGTTTTTTTTATAAAATACTATAATTTTTTATATGAAATTTTTTATGTTATAATATTTATTTTTTATTGGACTTTTAAAATAAAAATATTATGTAAAAAACTTAATTATATAGTATAAAAAAGATATAAAAACAATACTGTAAAAAAAATACTGTAAAAGAAACACTATATAATAACTTTATGAATTATTTTATTGAGGAAAGAGATTTTATTAAGATAATTTTACAACTTAATAGCAAAAAATCACTATAAAAATAAGAATTATTATTAATAAGTAAGTTGGATAATCTAATATATTATGGGTACTGTTTTTGTCTTATCCCGAAATTTTTTTTTTGGGTCTCATCCCCTCTTGTCTTGAACTAACTGAGACCGGGACCGAGACTGGGACCAGGACAGGACAAATTGAATACCTATAATATATATGTATATGATCTTTTCTAATTTTTTTCCTCTGGCCAGAACTGGCGGAAAATTTTTCCCGATCTAGGTAGAAATAGAAGTGTATGTGTGCGTATATACATAATATGTAGCTAGCAAGAGTTGGTGGGATTAATAAAGGTTTAGCTTATAAGCCTAAATCATATGAATCGACTCTATTATCAATATAAAGATCTCATTAATAAGTGATCTATAAGTCCTTTTATAAGCGTTTTCTAAAGACATACTTCGATGAGTCTCCACTCAACTCACCTGAACTTTCTTCTAGCCAAAAACAAAAAAAAGGTATATATATATATATATATGTATATGGTGGACTTAATTATTAATCAGCTTTTCCTTATTAATCTATGCTAGTACAATACTCGTGCTCTCCTCAATTAGAAAATTATGAAAAGAAATTATAGCATAATATATTTTAAAAAATACTTGTTGCCAATGATAATATATGCATTGTTAATTTGATATACAAAAGCAAAATTATGATAGGACAGTGTCGTATTAAGTAAAATGTTGCCTCTGCTCGTAGAATCTTGGATATACACCTCATTGAAATTAGTGTTTTGACAACAGGAATGGCCGAATTTGCACTATAAAGTCTGTGTTATATCAAAAATCGGAAGAATATTATTTTTTACAGATTTAAACTTTAAACCGTTCAAACCAACTTAATCATTAATCTATTTAGAGGGAGTAAGAGAGTTTACAAACAAAATGAAATGGCAAAATTACACCTTGGATATATGCAAGGCGCCCCCGCTTAGCAGCTTGGGAGGGCATATGCATGAAGAGAGAAGCAGGTGGGCGGGGTTGGGTCTGAGATCAGCAAAGAAGCAAAAAGAAGCTTTTATGATAAAGCTTGCTAGAGAAATTTATTATTTATTACTCCCTCCGTTCCTTATTATAAGAGACATTTGATGTTTATGGCATGTTCCTATATATAAGAGACACTTAAAAATTGTCTTTACTTTTTTGTGTTGATTTCCTATTTTACCCATATTTATTGTCTCCAATTCACACTCTCTCTCCTTTCCATTTCTCTTTCTTTTAAAAATTTACCATTGTTCTCTCTCATGCTCTGTCTCCTTATTAATGAGGGCATTTTTGGAGAAAAAATTATACTTTTTACACATTAATTGTTCTTAACTAATTTTAACTGTTTTTTTATCGACGTAATTCGGTTATTCGTCTCTTATAATAAGGAACGGAGGGAGTATTACTAATATTTTTAGGAAAAAATGCATATCAAGATGAATTTTTTAAAAAATAATTAAGCGAGAAAAAAATACTCGCGAAAAACAAATGTTCTCCAAAATTCTGCTTCAATGTAAGAATAAATGTAAATTAAAGTTTATGCATAAAAAAAAAAGATATGACATGGTACAAACATGCCATTACTATTTCCAATCTTGGACTTGATAAATGATAATTTTGAATTCAGATCAATGTATAATACTAACTCTTATCATTAACGTAAAAGCTAGTTTGATATTCAATTTGATCCTAAATACAAGATCACAATCTAGTTTGTCTCTCATACTTATCCTTTTTTTTTAAAGATACTCCTCTGGTCTTATTTATATGATACTAAGAGAAATTTTTTATGTAAATGTATAATTTTACCCATCATTTATTATTATATTGATTTTGTTTACATGAGATATAATATATACTCCTCCGGTCCTAAATATAAGACCCCTTTTGTAGTGTAATTACACTACAAAAGAGGTCTTATATTTAGGACCATAAGGAGTATTAAATAGGGATAAAGTGGGAAAGTTATTGAATTTTAAATGAGTTAATGAAATTTAAGTTTTTTCTTGGTCTGTGTGAAACATGTTAGAAGTAACTTGTAAATAGGATCAAAGGAGTAATCTTTATAGTAGTTGCATACGTTAAATGTAGTCATCATTATTCATAGGTCCTTCACACCTTTGAATGGAGAAAATAAAACACCACACATGAAGTTCCATAATCCAATTGCATTATTACAGTGGCAAATTGTATATGAAGTCATTGATAAGGTCTACATTGAAAAGTTTCGATATCTATAATTTATATTTATATTCATGTTTGATATCAACCTGTGAATTCGTCCAAAACATGAGCTTACTCCTAATGTAGTGGAATAATAAGCTAACAAAAAAAAAAAAAAACATTCCCGGGGTAAATAATTTATGAAGCCATGGAAGTAGGCATATACTCCCTCCGTTCCTTATTATAAGAGACATTTGATGCTTATGGCATGTTCCTATATATAAGAGACACTTAAAAGTTGTCTCTACTTTTTTGTGTTGATTTCCTATTTTACCCATATTTATTGTCTCCAACTCACACTCTCTCTCCTTCCTACTTCTCTTTCTTTTAATAATTTAATCGTTCTCTCTCATGCTCTCTCTCCTTATTAATGAGGGCATTTTTGGAAAAAAAATTATATTTTTTACACATTGATTGTTCTTAATTAATTTTAACTGTTTTTTTTATCAACGTAATTCGGTTATTTGTCTCTTATAATAAGGAACGGAGGGAGTACCATTTAAAGTTTGCTATTAATGACCTTAAGTTGAGGTTTATCTTCCCCGATGGGCCTCGTTAAAAAAAAATAAAATTGCTTGTTGTATTGCTTCTCGTGTTAATTTCGATAAAGGTGTTGGCTAGAACCATTCAAATGGAAAATATTAGACCCAAGGTTTCACAAGACCGATAATACTACTGACAATAAGATACTAATTACACTTAAAGGCCATGTTGGCACAACAGAGATTAGTCTGGTCCACAAAATGCAAAACAACACATAGCAGAAGGAATTATATAACTTCCCATAATCCAAAAGTCTAGTAAATTCCCAATATAGAGGAAAACTTATGTCCAGATTTTTAGTTAAGAAAAAACAGAACAAAAACTAGTTTCAGTATTTATCATTTTGATGAGTACTCTAAATTCATCAGATCTGAATTGTCTATATCTGATTTAAACAGTTTAGATTTAAAATATTTAATTAATTATTTTTAAATAAAAAACTATTTTAAAAAAATAGTTAAAAAATTATCTCTATTTTAAATTTTATATATATTAAAATAATTATCTTGAACAAATAAAAATAAAAAAGAAATCAAATTTCGATCATCTAAATAAGATGTGGATGATCAAATCTAATGAATTTAGAGTATTCATCCAAAACTGGTCCCGAAGATAATGACAATACTATAACACTGAAAGTCATAACGCACTCCCATCCGAAAGAAGCGCCATCCTTACAGCCATTATCTCAGTGAATGTGTCCGTGGCACTGACATGATGATGAAAAGAGAAACTATCTGCAACACAAAGGAAACAACATATGAGTAACCAAAGTATTATAATGGTGAAGGAAAAATGAAAACGAACTTTGAAGTACCCTGCTTCTTCTTGATAACCGCATAATTCACAAAAGTCACAAGCTTGTGCATCCTTTTCAAAGGGTTGTAGTTCTTCCATGCTTGAAACAGTGGGGAGGGAACAGGAAGCTACGTTCCTGAACCAACGTGCTATGCAGAAAGATAATGTGGTGCTTTCATTGCTTTGAATGGATTCCGTCACCTCCTACACCAACGCTGAAGTACTAGACCGATTATACCTTCCCTTCAAAGAAGATATTGCAAAACTGAAATCAAAGTCATGAAAATAACATCTGGCAAAGTGAACACGGAGATGATGAGTGCTATTAGCAAGCCTGCTCGTCATATCCACAGAGACCAAACTTTTGGGGTAATCGAGTTCATTAACCCAATCCTTGTGAAGACCTTTTCAACCTCCACAACAACCTTCCAAGTGTTCATAGAAGGGGCAACCTCATCAAGCCCATCGTAGCCAAGGCCATGTCAAGTTAGAGAGAAGAGGAAGAAGATTTAGTGATAGAGGAGACGTGCAGTGGACTGTGTGTGGAAGAGCCTTTGGAAACCTTGGTTATACAGTAGGCGGAAGGGAACAAACTGATGGGAAATTTTTAGAGCTCAAACGGAAAAGCAAAGAACAAAACAGTAAATAACAGTACTCATTGTATATTATAGTATTTTCTCTGTGATATAGAGTGATTTCTTCCTCTTTATATATACGTGAATCAGAGAACAAGGAAAGAGAAATAAATGACCACGTGTTAAAAGAAGAGAAGGATCTAGACATTAGGGCTAGCTGGAAACGTGTGCGGAACTGGGCTTCTGTATTTTGGGTCTTTGTTGGGCTTATTGTATAATGTCATGTAGGTGCTAACATGCCCTCTCGAGTCCAAGTATGAAGAATGAACATTTAGACTTGATCTTAACCACTTGAAACGATCAGCTACCAAGGGTTTAGTGAAGATATCTGCAAGTTGATCATGAGAAGAAACAATGGCAATTCTGAGAGACTTCGCAGCAACTCGTTCACACACAAAATGATAATCAAGATCAATGTGTTTCGCCTGAGAATGAAAAACTAGATTAACAGCTAGATAAGTAGCTCCCAAATTATCATCGTATAAGATTGGGGCTTCGGGTGGTCTAATGTTAAGTTTTCCAAGTAAATTTTGTAGCCAAATGAGTTCACATGTAGCAGTAGCAAGAGCTCGACACTCAGATTTAGTGCCTGATCTTAAGACAGTGCGTTGTTTCTTCTTGATCTTGAGACAGTGGGTTGTTTCTTAGAGTTCCAAGAAACAAGATTTGAGCCAAGAAACATAGCATAACCCCCAATGGATCTGGAATCAGGTTGAGAACCTCTTAGCATTAGAATAGGCTTCAAGTGACCTAGCAGTAGAACACAAGGTCATAGTGTTGGATCTTCTAATAAGTAAACCGAAATGGGATGTGTCACAAAGATACCGAAGAATGCATTTAACAACGGCAATTTTATCAAAATACTATAAATAGTAAAAATAATTACCCAAATGCTACATTGCAGAAACTATTTATCTATATACTATATCTTTTAAAAATCGTTCACGCCGAGATGAACTTTCACTCTAACAGCTTATTTTTTTAAGTGAAAAAATGAAACTCGTTCAAGTCAAGAACGACTTCCACTATCTCCATTTTCCCCAACTAAGATCCCATTTCATCAACTTCCGCCTTTCGTCCCTGCCTTTAAAGTTGTGGAGCAAATTACAGTTAACACCCCATCTCATCATATCCATTCCTCATTTTCTTTTACTCTACATCTTCTCCTAAATAGAATAAATAAATATGAGTAGATTTTGTAGAAAAATTACTTTTTATCTTGATACTTAAATTTAAAAGAAAATATATAAATGAATTAAATAAAAAAATATTTAAAACTTAACAGGTTCACAAATTTTATGAAATAGCTAAATAAAAATATTAAAAACTTTAAGTTTTTAAAATAACTCAATAAACAAACACTAAAAACTTATTAGGGCCTTCTTTCATGGTGAAAGAGTGTCATGTTACCTTAAATAATTCAAAAAAACAAAAATAAAATAGATAAGAATGGGTACTAGAGAAAAATAAGAATATTTTAAGTGATTTTAAGAACTTAAAGTTTTTAATATTTTTATTTAGCCATTTCATAAAATTTGTGAACTTGTTAAGTTTTAAATATTTGTTTATTTAATTTATTTATATATTTTCTTTTAAATTTAAGTATCAAGCCAAAAAGTAATTTTTCTACATAATCTACTCATATTTATTCTATTTAAGAGAAGATGTAGGGTAAAAGAAAATAAGTAATGGATATGATGAGATAGGGTGTTAACGGTAATTTGCTCCACAACTTTAAAGGCAGGGACGGAAGGCGGAAGTTGATGAAATTGGGTTGTCAGTTGTAATTTTCGCTGAAAATAAAATGGAGATAGTTGAAGCCTTTATTGGCCTGAAGGAGTTTCATTTTTTCACTTAAAAAATTAAGCAGTCATAGTGAAAGTTCATCTCGGCATGAACAACTTTTAAAAGATGTAGTATATGAGTAAATAGCTTCAGTGTAGCATTTGAGTAATTATTTTTATTATTTATGGTAATTTGATAAAATTGTCATTTAATTGCAGACTAGCATCCATCAGTGGGATAGTGCATGAACTGGCGTAGTTTATTTACAGCAAAAGACAAATGAGGTCTGGTGAATGAGACATTGAAGACTACCAATAACACTTCTATACAATGTGGGATCTTTGAAAAGTGTACCGTGTTTAAGCAATTTGGAGTTAACTGCCATGGGAGTGGATATTGGTTGGGCATTAAGCATATTTGTCTTAGCTAGTATATCCAATATATATTTTCTTTGACTTAGGAAAATACCTTTAGACCTAGTTTCAACCTCAACACCAAGAAAGTATTTTAGAGCGCCTAAGTCTTTGATAGGAAAGGAGGAACCCAAAATTTGAAGTAATTCAGAGATAGCATCAGCAGAGGATTCTGTCAGTATTATATCATCAATGTAAATGAGCACATGTATCCAACATAAAGAAGTGGTGTAAATGAAGAGGGAAGGATCTGAACGAGAGGCAGAGAAACCAAGATTGAGTAAACAAGAACTTAATCATACAAACCATAGTCTAGAGACTTGTTTGAGACTAGGGGTATTCATGAGGCCCGGTAGCCCAGTATGCCCTCCCAAACCTGCCAAAAAAATACCCTGCCCAGCCCAAAAAATACAAAAAAAAACAGAAAAAATGGGTATTTTCGGGTTGGGCTATTCACGAGGAAGGCCGGTCGCAGGCACACCATGTAGCCTTGCCCATTTGGTCTTGCCCGATATATATAATTACTTATATTATAATATATATTTTTTAGAATTATAATATATATAGTGTAATATTACTATTATACTTCAATACTCAAAAAGAACATTACTCCCTTATATTATTAGACTTTACATTTTTAAAGTTCTATTTTTTTTTTAAATATACCACCTCTTTTAACTTTTTTAAACTATCTTACTGTGTACTATAATTGTCTTTTAACTTTTAGACGTTGACATTACTTCATATATCATGAAATGATACTAATTATTCCAATTCAAATGTAATATTATAGATCTCTATAAATTATATAAACTATAAGTTATTAATATAATTGAACATGTTAATATCGCTTGTATTTTTTCTTATATGTTTTGTTATTTTCTCAACTTTGTGGAGATTGATGCAAATCATTTGGACTTTAAGACTTTAATTACAATTTTTCATTGTCTTGTTTTTAATAAATTGTGGATATTGTTAAATTTTTAAAGTATAAATAGTTGTTAAGACATACAAAAATTTTATAACCCAAATTGTAAATTTGGACAAAGAAAGCCTGTCTTGCCCAGTCTATATTAACCCAACCCAAAATAACTTTTTTATTGTCAAACCCGCTGTATTTTGCAGCACACTTATCCTTCGGGCCGGGCATCCAGCAAGGTCTTGTCCTATCCATCTTTGCCATGCACACCCCTATTTGAGACCATAGAGAGAGCGACGGAGTTTGCAGACATAAATACCTCTTCGTCAAGAAATCCATGGAGGAAAACATTCTGCACATCGATTTGGCAAACAGTCCAGTCGCGTGAGACAGCTAGAGTGAGAACGATGCAAACAGTGATTGGCTTCACTACTGGAGAGCAGGCATCAGAAAAATCGACGCCCTCTTGTTGATGAAAACCGTTTGCAACTAAGCTGGCTTTGAATTGATCAATAAAGCCGGCGGGAGAGTACTTGACTCTGAAAATCCACTTACACATGATGACATTCTAAGATGGTGATGGAGGAACAAGAGTCCATGTCTGGGTGTTGAGAAGGGCCTGAAATTCTTCCGCCATCGCTTGACACCATTAAGGCGTCTAAATTGGTTCTATAACAAGCGAGGCGCAGAGATCGAGGAAATGGCAGAGAAAGCTTTTGGTGGTGGCCAGCGAATAGTACCATCTTTATGAATCTTTGGTTTGGAGATCTGTGCTTTGGCATGGGTGACCATTAGATGAGTGGGTTGGGGTCGTGGTGGAGAAGACCACAAGTTTGGTGTGTCAAAGAGAGCAGATGGATGAGGAGATGATGGCTGGGTCAGCAAAGGGTTGGTAAAGGACTAGGGAGAGGATGTACAAGGGCTAGGTAGTAATAGGCTTTGAGTGGGTGGGGGAGGATGCAGTAGGGTTGTCTGGATATCAGCCTCAGGAGTGTAAAATGGTAAAGATATTGTGAGGTTGGGATTGGGTTGAGGAGACGAAGTTGGGCCATGGAAGGGAAAACTAAGCTCGTCAAAAACAACATCCTTAAATTTATAAATTATAAAATCACATAATCAGTTGTTATAATCAACTGCTAAGGGTTTAGTGAGAATACCTGCATAATTAGTTTTTTGTTTTAGCTTAAGTTACTTTGTTTGCTATGATTTATAATAAGGACCAGCAGATCATTACATATTGACTTTTTTTTAAAGTGATTATTGTAGTGTTCATGTCTTGTTGTGGTCATATTGTTTATTTTTTCAAAATAATAAGTAAACCAATTCTCAAAATCATATATATTAACAGAAAAATTGCTAAATTACGGTACCATTATGAACAAGTTAGAATATAGAAATTATCAATTGACACGAGGAGCATTAATTCAAATTTGCAATTCAATTATATTGAACTTAAAGTAGAAATATTATATTATCCTATATCACATAATAACATGAATGTATTATTAAAATTTATGTTAATTAAATGACATTTTTTGAAAACTTAAGCAAATTCATATGAACAAATAAATTGACAAATCAAAATTATGTCATTGACAAGTCACTATGTCACCATTAACAAGTGAAAGTGCCATTAATGACAAGAGATTTCATAATTTTTATTAGTGATAATTGAATTTTAATAACGAGTCTATATGACCTCATAACAAAAATGTATTAGTTTAGAAGAATTTTTGGTATTATATGATGTTGTTTAGTATTATATAAATTAAAATTGCAATTTTTTTAACTTATATGAGCATATAAATTGACAACTAATAGTGCAATATACATCAAAATATAATATATAGCCAGCTTTCATCCACAACTTCATATAAATATAATTACATCAATTTCACAACTCATTGAAAATAAAACATAGAATTACATGTATCCAATATCAAATGAACTATTTGTGAATATCATGACATTTACAAAAAAAATTCATGTCATCACTTCTATCTACAACAAAAATTCTTTTGCCATTGTTTGTTAGGTTCAAAATGGCCTTTCTTTTTGCCCATGTTCTTTTTCTGCTTCATGTGATTGCTCACCCTTTTTCATTACATTTTCTTCCTCCTTTTGTAACCTCTACCAATGAGTTAAGGGCAGAAAAGCTCATGATTGTTGTGTCAAAAGCGTGACAAAACTAATAAATATACACCTGCACGACGCAATGATCATTGATAAGTCAAAGAGCTATATTGACAACTATCGTGGCCCATATTGACAACATATTCTCCTATTTCATAGTAAGGGTTTTTACCCACATCAAACTTTATCTTCTTCATCAATTCCTGTTGAATCTTGATGAAACAGAGCAAGATCATACTCAATCCATCCACAATACACTCAGAAATAGAGTATTCATTATCACCTTACCTGCTCATAATAAAACCCTAACTTAGATGACCAACATATATCAAACAAAAAAACACAAGCAATTTTTACCAATGGTTGACATTAGTGGAGGGGACAAGATTTTCTGATAGGGGTAAGGAAGAAACATGATGAAGTTTGGGTATTTTTTCCTCTTGCCTTCTACAAACAAGGTGTAGATTTTCAGGTTGAAACAGAGCAAATTTGCAACAGCTTTGGGTGCTTCTTACAAGGGTAGAGAAGTCTTTTCACCCTTCATTAAATTGCACTCAGGTCCCTTTGGGACTTCAGATTTATTACTAGATTTTTCAGGATTTTTTTGTAGTATTTTATGTTCCATGGACCCTCATGTCATTTTCCCTTAAAAAACTTGATTTGAAATACTACCTTTTATTATTTATCAGATTTATTAATCAAAGATAAATTTTGTATAAAAAAATTAATCAAAGATAAACAATTATTATAATTTCACCAACTAAATTATTAGAACTTTCAGAGTTATACTTCTTGGAGAGGAAAGATGCTACCAAAAGGACTCTTGGCCATTTGGTTTGTGCCCTGTACATTATTAGTAGTTTAGTCCAGCGCTCCAGCCAACTGAGCTAATCGGCCAATTGTTAATAATCAATTTTAATATTTAGAGAATAATTAATTACGTGTCTACTTATCATTTATTAAATTTATGAGTTTAATGATGATGAAGTTTATTTATATGAAGAAATACAAAACTTTGTTAATTTTGAAGATGAGGCCCTACTGAACACATCCTATTTCTCTTTATGTTTTTTCAATAATCTCGTCCCTCTTTTTTCATTTCACGGGCTCTCTCCGCCACCTTTCCTCTCCATCCGTCTCTCTCCTTGTGCCAGATTGGTTGGCAAAAGGCAGAATTAAAATCACTCAGCAAAAGAAAAATTTCACATCTAATTTTTTTTTTTAAAAAAAGTACATATGAGATATGTCATAACATGAAAATCATTCTTATTTGTAAACAATTCTGTGTAAAATTAAACTCATTCTACGCATCAATGAGTTTGGGTGCAGCATCCTGATAAATATTTTTAACAATGTAGCATTTCGATAATAATTTTTACTGTGTATAGCAGATTTGTCAAAAAGCCCTTGTTGTAACATTGTGCTTTCATATTTTTATTATAATTGGAATAGTTAACCAAATATAACTAAAAAATGTGATTCGGTAATCTAGAGAGAGCAGGCAAAGACTTGTAACAATATTTTTTTAATGAGAAAATACATTTATTTAATTGTATTTAACTTGTAATATTATCGATTCTTCACTTGTGCAGTGTAATCGCTCCACTTGTGATTTTTGACAGGTACAATATATGAGCTGGCTTTCCTCATTTAAGAAAAAAGATTTATGGTCCCCTTTAGTATAAAGCATTGAAAATGTAGGATTGGAATTGAGATTGTAATTGAAAAAAATCATTAAAATAATATTTAGCATGAGTAGTTACTTATTATAGGGGATTAGGCAAGCCCATAGAGGCATGATTGGGGAATATCACTTCTCTCCATGTATTCTCTAATCCCACAATGGTATTCCCTAATCCCACATACATGGGTTTGGAGATTTCTATATAACAAACAATCTTTTATACTAAACACTCTTTTAATAGATTTTTTCAATGGCAATCCCAATCCCAATCCCAGTTTCTGATTTGTAATACTTCCTACCAAATGTAATCTATGAGTTCAGCCTCTAGATCAATAGGTAAAAAGAAAACTTGATTTGAAATAATTTTTATCATTTATCACATTTATTAATCAAATTTGAATAATTATTACTCTTCCGATCCTAAATATAAAACCCTTATACACACTAGTATAAGAGTCTTATATTTAAAACCGGAGGAGTATAATTTTACCTATTAAACTGTTAGAAACTTTTAAATTTATGCTTATTAGAGGAGAAAAATGCTTATAGGAGGAGAGAAGATAGCCATTAATAATAGGTCAATTATTAATAATGAATTTTGATATTTAGAATTTTTTTGTCATTAATAATATGCTTATTTATTATTTATGAAATTTGTGAATCGAAGTCTATCATTATTTCGTCCTAATAAATTCTATAAAATTCAAATTCAGGATTAGCTTTGTCATCAATTGCTTTATTTGAAAAAATGAAAATATACCAACTTATTAAAATGATATATTTTTGTTTAACAAAATGGTCATGCAAGTCTCAACCTACTTCCGCTTTGTATGATATCCTAATTAACTAAGCTAATAGGCTAAAGATTATTAATTAATTTTGAGATTTAGAGTTTGTGAGCCATCAATTAAGTGCTTATTTATTATTTATTACATTTATGAATTGAATATTGTTTATGTTAACAATGTAATATATGCAGGGCAAACGTGCAACTTTTGCATTAACAGTGTGATCTCTAAACAATTGAGGTAAGAGGCTAATTATTAATGATTAATTTTAAGATTTAGAATTTGTATAACACTAATAATGTGTTTATTGCTGAATGAAGGCAAGTAAATGAAGTAGATGAAATGCCGATGGAATGTGTGATTAGAAAGAGGAAACAATCCTATGCATGGATTATAGTTGGAAGTAATTCACTATTTGGCTTTTCAATAGTGAATCTTATCGTCTGATAATGAAGTTCTACATGAATGGGTAGGTAGGGTGATACTTTCCCAACAGAGTCATTAAATCAAATACTCCTCCGGTCCTTATTATAAGACCTCATTTGACTTTTTATTTGGTCCTAATTATAAGACCCCAATCCATTTTGTCTCTTATATTTATGCATTTTTTCCAAGATAATCCTTCTAATAATGATAGTTTTAGCCAATATACTTAATTAGCAAGGATATTTTAGAAATGACAACACTTATTTATTATAAATAACCAACTTAACTTACTTCCTTAATCTCCTCAAATAAGTCAATTGGGTCTTATAATTAGGACCGGAGGAGTATAATAATATGATTAGCATATAATTTAATGTACTTCTACCATTTATTTTCATTTCCAGTAATCTAAACTGCAAAGTTGTTTATAATTTTTGTTAAGTGTAATAATTAACATTTTATTCTTAATAAATAATATGTTTAATCCATGAAATTTATGATGTGACCTAATTGATTTAATGTGGGATTTAGGTCATTTAAATATTAAAATATGACATGTTTAATATTCTATCACTAATACATTCCATCATAAAATCAAATTCAACAGGTGTGTGTGTGTGTGTGTGTACATATACGTACATACACAAGGCCTATGATTTATGTGGGGCCGAAGGCAATCAGGACCTTATTTGATGTTTGATAGCTTCATTCCTCTGAAAGAAACATTTATGTTTTTCTCTATCCTCTTCTCCAGAGTACTTCACGCCCTCTTTAACCGTTTATTCAACAAGCTCATGTGACAATAGTTTGAGGGCAAAAATGCCATTTAAGTCATAACTAATCTATCCTGAATTATTATTGTTGTGATACGAAATGACGATCCAAATGATCCGCCTAAATTAACAAATACTTTTCTAGGATATAATCCTAGAAGAAGACAAATATGGCAAATAAATGGAAAGCAAGCACAAGGCTAGCATCTGAGAGGCTAGTATTGCCCCTTATTCATTGATTGCTCGAGGCAGTTACAACACTGGCCCCATTTAACAAAATTTTAAAATATATATATATATATATATATGATTCTACATGATTTACTCAAACTTCAAAAAATTGATAAAATTTATTTTTTTTAATTTAAAAAAGAAAGAAAGAAAAAAGAAGCAGCTCACCCCACAAGGGGGAACTATATGCTCTGCCTCAGCAAAGTTTTCCTATCTAGCACAAAATTACATGTAGTGATAAGGCATTACATAATTCTGCCCAACAAAGAAAACTAACGAAATCATACAGTAATTTTAGAATGGAATTGGTTGTCTGCTTGGCCATGATTCTATCTTCTCAAAATACTTGGCTGGCACAACCCCATCAAAACCTTCTGTCAATATCACCTTGTTTTCAGAAATGTAAAGCTTCATACCTTCTGAAATAAAGATCAAAACAAAAAAGAAGCATTTAATAATCAATACTCAATAGTCTTGTATAGTATCTTGGAAACAAGGGGGAAAATAATATAACTTGATCTCCTGTATAACACAGCTAAGGAAATGAGACCAAGTCCATCATACCCTCCAAAGCTTTTCGAACATCTAGAAAGATCAAGACATTGACATCCCGCCTCATACCTGGAAGAGGAAAACAAGAGAGAGATTGGAATTCACATACATAGATAGATAAAGACCAGCCAGTCCAATTTTATCTGAGTCTCCAGTAAAATTCCAAAATTGTTAAGGACACAGCACTTCAGTTCTTGATAAGCAAAGATCTCATGCAAGAATAGAGCAAAGGGTCTACGCATGCTGATCTTCCTAGATTATGCTTTGCATTTGTTGAAGAGATTGACAATTCATTTTTGAAGAGAGAGAGGCAAAAAAGCTCTGGACCTACCGCTTAATTAATGGACCCTACTTGCTTATAAATTGAGTTCCATAAACATAACGTCGTTGACACTCTCAAATTCTTTAGGAACACAGAAGATCCAAACCCACAATTTTTAACAAATTAACTCACAAGCCATCAAAAGAAGATTTCCTATCCACATCCATCCAACCTCCAACAAAATGTCCCAAATCACCGAATGAGTTGGAAATATGTATAATATTGCACAATGAAGTATGCAAATGCAAAAGGTCAAAGCAGGTGATGGGATTTCTCAAATGAGCTCCACGTTCAGCCTAAAACTGATGGGCCACAATTGAAAAAATAAAGGCCAGCTTTCACACAGCACAAAACAAATACGCGGGAAAAAATTCTCAATGAAATAAATAAAGAGGAGATTTTCATGAAACATGGCATTACCACTTATTACTTCACCGTCTGTAGGTAGACCACATGAAAAGTGAACGTGCAATCTCTTCATGCGCTTCAGACCAGATTCTAAAATTGAATTCAAGTTTCTTCTGTAGGTCCCATGCACACAGACTGCATATAGTGGCAACATGCTAATTTGAAACAAAAAGTACGACAAAATAAAAATTGGGAGCATGTGACATAAGATTAAAAAAACAAACAAACAATTTACCAGGAATTTCTTCAGCTGAAAGGATTGGTTTCAATAAGCTTTCGGTCTCAACAGCCTGCAGATTAAAATGTCATTAACCATAGTGTAGAACAAAATAAATTAAATGAATTCTCAATCCAACAATCTGCCCAGAGAAATAAGTCAGTATTTAATAGAAAGAACACAATATGGGATACCTAGTTCCACATCGCATAGTTTGGGCTGCCTTATGGAAAACTTAAGTGGGTTAATTCCCCCACCACAATAACTTGCTTTTTGATGGAGGTAAAAGGTTCCCCAGCTTGAGGGTTCATTAGTTGGTATTAGATCCAATGATTAGCAACAGGCTACTTTAAAAAGAATAAAAATAAAAATTCTAACCAACCAAGCAAATGTACGAAATGTTGCAGCCAAGACATCAGTTTTCTAAGATGCCGCAGTATAAAAATTAGCCATCACCTTCAACAAAATAATGCACGGGTCGACCTAAAATTGTGGTAACAATAGCCATGTCTGAAAGTTAGGCAGCCTGGGACAGGTTAACAGCTTATTCACAGCACTTGGACGTGACATTATTCTAAAGCTTATAATTTCTCCAAGGAAACTATAAGATTATACGGGCTTTAGATTTGGACCCAAAAAAAAGCTTGTTAATTGACCAAAGCAAGCTTTTCTGATAGGAGAGATTCATCTCCAAGTACTTGAGCTTTCATCGAAAATAAGGGCATGAGGACAGGAAATCCATATTGTAATGCCTCGCTTGTGAATACATTTTCAAGTCACTAGAACTAAAATATGAAAAAATAAATACAAATTTATATTTTTAGTTCTTGTGAAAAATAGAAATTACTGAAGAAGGCAGGGAAATGAATCCAATTACAAATGAAATCTTTTGCAGACAAATGGCCTAGGCACCACATCAGCACAAGGCTTAAAGAGAATTTACAATTGTACCATTCACAGTAATGCCACTTACAATAACTCAAAAAGAAAAAGAAAAACAATCAAGATCTCCACAAACAATGATATCCGCAAAAGATAAAGGAATTCACAAGCAGAATTCTGTTTTATTGTATACCACTAAGTTGCAATTTACATTTAGATCAACATGAAAAATAGACAGAAGAAAATTAGACACAAAGTGTTACATTTACTTTTCCTGCAATGACATCTTAACAAGAATCTAACCAATGCAGTTCAAACAGAGAATTAGAATCATCACTCAGCATGAATAGTTACAATAATGGAGGGTGCCAATAGAATAAAGTTCAGTTATTTTTTCAAAAATTTAATACTACCTCTTGTCCTTCATATAAGACTTTGCTTGACTTTTCTTTTAGTTCTAAGTATAAGACCCCAATCCACTTTTTTTCTCATAATTATGTATTTTTTCCCAAGATAGTCTGTTGGAAATAGGCCTCTCTGAAAGCCCACTTCATCTCTACCCCAAATTGCTCCTCAAACGGCTAGCTAGGCTTATTATCTTAATTAGTTTTTTCATTCTCCGAAATCTTAGGGATCACAGAATTATTCTGCTTTCCTCTATTTTATTTCCAGATTGTAATCCTATCATAATTAGGGATTATTCCCTGCGATCCAGTGTAATCTCCTTTCCCCTATATGTATCATCCCTTTCAGTGAATAATACACACAATTTTCAGCACATATTCTTTCATAGTCCTTCTAATAATAGTACTTCTAGCCAATATATTTGATTAGCAAGGACATTTTAGAAAAGATAACACCTATTTATTACAAATAACTAACTTAACTTATCTTCTTAATTTCCTCAAATTAGTCAACTAGCTCTTATATTTAGGACCGGAAATAGTAAGATGCAAGATAGGATGATGTTCATGCAAAGAAATGCTTACCGTAATTGTGTGGCCTTGGTTAGCTCGTATTAACAGCTCCCCATTCTCTTCTATAAGGCTAAACCGCTGCTTGTTATCCCTTTGGACGGCCTAAGGATATCCATAAGATAATAAAGAATATATGTTTTTAAGGAAATTCACATGAAATAGACATTTACTAATAAAAATATACAAGCCATCAGCCATTAAATATAGGCAAAAAGAAATAGTAATAAATTTAAATAAAGAGATCAGAGAAAAAGACCTGAGTAATAAACATCATAGGCACCATAGGCCAAAAAGCTATTAAGCCTACTCATTAAATGACTAGGCATAGTCTAACCTTATCCAGTATCCCCACTATCTAATGTTCTGTGGCGTTCCTCCTCAAGCCATAACAATATAAGTAATTGAGAGAATACATCAGAAAATTCTTAATTTGGAACCTGATTACTTTATTATATAAGAGATAGATGATGTCTTAGAGTCAACTTCAATGCACTAGGGTACGAATATCTTATGGATGACATTTGAGATAAAAGTCACAAATTAAAAAGTGAAAGAGACTGGTGATGTCCCAGAGATACAGCCAAAACACACAAGTACCATGACAAGTTCCATAGTTGACTTGCGTCTTTACAACAATGGTCCTGATGGTTTTTATTAACTTTCTGATGGGGGAAATTAGGTTACTAGTTTGGATAGGAATGTTCATGCATAATAGTCGACCTTAGGCTCCTCAGTTCACCCAAAAACAGAGGAATAAAAGTAAATTGGGACAACACTGTACCCAAACCCAAAAAACTTTTAGTTTTTCCAACTGTCCTAATTTTGTTTCCTCACTGTATTTCAAATATGAATTCCACACCATAATTAAGAGTACAAATGACAGAACAAGACTTGAATTCTAATCCTGGAATGCATTTCAGTAAATGCACCCACAAATTTGACTTCCAAGCAAATGGCAGCAAGTAATGACAATAAAGATACAGGAACTCAAGAAGAAAAGAATAAACTAACCTCCCTAATTTCATCGATAGTATGCAATTTTAATGGAATGTTGGCAAACGTCTTCATATTCAGCTTCAATAGATCATTAACCTTCACAAAACCATCGCTCCGCACATTCAAATTCAATCCAGATGCCATGTGACGTAAAATTCGTGTCCTACAAATTTCACAACGGCAGTTACTACCATTAGTGATTCCGCAGAATTTGGCGGTTAAGAACAAATAAAGTATACCATAGTCCGACAGAAATTTTTTTCAGTAATTAAAGGAGAAAAATTCATTTCACATTGCAAAATAAATAATGACTATCAATATACAATTTTGGCAGTTAAGAACAAAAGAAAATAGTTAGAATGACATGATCACAGGTCTAAAAGTGCTTACAAAAGCCTCCCAAGGGCGTCAATTTTATCTTTTCCAGAGCCACTTCCTCCCCCACCTCCACCGCCCCGACCTCTTGTTCTATCTCTTTCGTTTCTCATCTCGAAGGCCCTTCCCCTACCACCACTGCCAACAAAACAAAAATATTAGATTATATTCGACAAGCAATTTCAGAGACATTTCTAAGTAGTATTATATTCGAAAGTCTTCCTCAAGTTTCCCAGTAAAAAATTTCCCCAAAACAAACCTTTTTCTTTGGGCCTAACCCCGAAAATCAGCGCCAGGTAGAGAAAACCAAAAAATTAGTTTACATGGCCATTTCAAGTGCCGGACAAGATTTCGCAAAAGAAAGAATAAATTGAAGAAAGAGAACAACCTTGGACTAGCATGAGCGTGAGACAAGAATGAAGAGCTCTTGAAATTGGTGTTCTTATCGGCATGGTTCTCCATAGGAGCTAAGCCAGAGGAACTGAGAATAAGAGTCGGAGAAATGAAAGAGTCAAGTGGAATGAAAAACCAGCGGTACCGTGAAATCAGAACGCGGGTGGAGAGGAGAGCCAACATGGAGATGAGCACAGTTGAACGCTGATCAGCCGAACAATAATAATAATTAAACATTAAACAATCTCATCGGCAAAAGGAATATGAAAATTTAAAATAGAATAAGGATTTACCCGTTGGCCCGGGCAAAAGCTAGATTAGCCGAACCATACATGCCGGGTACCACGGGCCAACCAGCCCGCTGGTAAAAGCTAGCCTGTCACAGCATGAAACTCAGGCCCCACATGATAGGTTAGTCGACCCACCATTTTTAAAAATTTGGATAAAAGGATATTCAGTATCCCAATTTTGTTTTTGTTTATTTAGTATCTTTTTTTTCATGTTTACTATGCAATTTTTTTTATGTACATTCAACAATGCCTCAAGTTATTTTTACTCGTGTTCCTAATAGAGGTGGGAATACATACTAGTCTTACAAGGCTAACAGTTTTAAAAGAGCCAACTTTGTAAGGCTAAAATATTAAAAATATCTCAATTTGTTAAGCCTGACTCTTAAACTAATGAGCTCAAAACCAGCTTGCAAACTTTCTGCTTGTTTAAGAAAAATTTTTTATCAAAAAATAAAAACAAACTAATAAAATTATTAATAAAAGATATAAATATGAATAAAATTAAGTCATAAAAATAAAATATCATCATATCAAAATATCTATCAACATCCTAGAGCACCTAAAACAGCAGTCAACAAGACAATAACATCTAAAAGTTTTATCAATAGTGTAAATGTTCAATAGGCAAATATTATCATTAATTTTTTAAAACTTCATCATCACTATCATCAATTGTTCTTCTTCATGAGTATGCTTTTCTTTCGTAGCAAAAATATCAAGTTTTTCTTCTTTATAGGAATTTCACTCTTAAATTTTGTAGTCCAACTATTATTTTGCTGTAGTTTGAGAAGTATTGGTTAAAACTCATAAATTTCTAATTCAAATTATAAAATCACATGTTATATAAGTATAAAAATACTCTCTTATCAAATATATATAGTTTAGAAATATCAACAATAACAAAAATCAAATCATTATTAAAGTCCAAATTCACCTATTTTTTAAAATTTAACTGGACAAATTATTTTCTAAAATCAAATAAATCAAACCATTTTTAATTTCAAAATGATAATAATAACTAAATATTTGAAATATCATTAAGAATGTAAAAAAATTAATAATATTAAAATTACACAAAAAAATTTAAAAAAAATATAAAAAGGCTTAAGCAGGTTAGCCCTCAACCTTGTAAGACTGGCCTTTTTAAGCCCTCAGCGCTACAAGACCATCCCTTTTAAGCTTGTTTCTTATTTAAAGGGAAAAATTATAAACCCGACCCTTATAATTTTCAGGCCTAAACGGGTTTGACCCGTTTTTTGGCTCTCATCCCTAGGCACCTTTATCCAATTTTTCCCCTTTTAGGTCATAATGAAGACCTTAGGGTCTGTTTGGCTCAATAAGAGAGAGGAAAGAGGAGGGGAGGGATTTTAAAGGAGGAAAGGGAAGGAGATGAGAGTGGAAGGATTTTAATATCACCTTATTTGGATTTATTAAAAGGGAGGGGAAGGGAAGAGTTTTAATATTACCTTGTTTGATTCATGAGGAGAGAGGAGGAAAAAATAACATGGACAATTTTACCCTTATTTTATTTAAGATATAGGCATAATGGTCATCACATGACAAAATATGGGCATAATGATCACAACATAGCAAAATATTGCCCTTTCCCTCCAAATCCTCCTAATTTTGGAGGGGAGGGAAAATTTTTGAAAATTTTTCCTCTCCTCCTAAAATTTGTGTGTTGCTAGATAAAGGAAAATGATTAAAATCCTTCCCCCTCCCTCTCCTCCTCTCCTCCCCTCCCCTTCAAATCCCTCATACCAAGCACATCATTAATGACATGCCGAGGAGGGGAGGTGGCAAACAACCACTGATGATTTTAATAGGAAAAGAGAACAAAGAAAGCTCTTGGTGTTGAAAAGACTTGTCCTTTAGCCTCATGTGTGAAGAAAATTCTCCCAAATGATATGTACACAAATTTCTTTGAAAAAGGCATTGCTTACTAGTGAATTCATCAGTTAAAGGATCCAAATCAAGAGGACTATTGGAAAATTGGATTTTACATAATTTGTTGGAAGTTATGAGAAGCAACGAATTATCGTCTCTTTTTTTAATGAGAATTATACTATTAAAAATATTTTGATAAGCATTCATGCTAGTTAGGCATTCTTGAAATGTTTTTTCACTTTCAATTTAATCATATAAATCTTTTTGTTTGTCTGTCGCTTGACTCTTTATGGTTTATTTTGCAATGAAAATTATCCATTTCATTAAAAATTAAAAAACTCAAAAGCAAGGTGGCGGGAATAGCCACCTACCAAGCTAGACAAAATGAATTATTAAAAAAAATTAGTTATCAAGCCAAAATGAAATAAATAAGGGAGAATCTCAACAAAAATATTTTTAAATTTTAAATTTTAAATCAATTTTATTTATTATATTTTAATAGTAATTGATAATATTTGAAAAACAAATGATAACCTATTTTTATAATAATTCATAATTTGAAATTTTAAAATTTTAGAAATTCCCAATAAACAATGCTGATTTTTTATTTGGGTTAAAAATAAATAAGAGATAATTTCAACAAAAAAAGACCTTTGAATTTGAAAATTTTAAATCAACTTTATTTATTATATTTTAATAACAATTAACAAAAAGTAAATGACTATCATAAATAAAGAAGAAATATAGAAAAGAATCATACAGAAGAAGAGATGATCAATAAGAGAGAGTACTTCTCATTCCATTTAAGTATGCTCAATATATTATACATGGCCTCTATTTATAGGCACAGCTTTACACCTTCGATAGAATCTATATATTATATAATAATATGATATAATTATGAGATATAGAGATAATGAGAAATATTAGAAATTATAGGAGATAATGAGAGATATATAGACATCCACAAAGATATTATTATATTCATAATACTCCCCCTTGGATGTCCAATATATATCAATGTGCCTTGTTAAAAAACTTCAACTAAAAAAAACCTTGTGGGACAAAAATTTAGCAAAAGAAAAAGAGTATATCATTCATTGATACACCATGCAATGTTATCTCATTAAAAACCTTGCTAGGAAAACGCAGTGGGACAAAACCATAGACAAGAAAAAAAATACAGCGTGTATCAACTCCCCTTTTTGGCAACATCAGTTGACATCTTCGAGCCTGCAAAGTCTAATATAACGAACAACCCTTTCAAATATTGTAATGAGATAAAAACGTCAAATATAAATCATAATCTTTTAAAAATCATGAGATAAATAGTCTTTTTATGGTTTACCCACACGTGGATTATACTATGATCTCTTGACATGATGGTCAAACAAGAATACTTTATCTATATAGTCATTAAGATTAGTCTTGGATACCTTCAAATAAAATAATATTACCTCCACGGTATCATTAAAGTTACGAATAATATTTTTAACTTCATTCTAACATCTTCCTATTGATAAAGACCTATATCATACTAATTAGCAAATGATAGCTCAGATTCTGCATGGCTAGATAGATATATAAATGCTTCAATAACACTAAGATATGGTATTTTGGACCAAGTGTTTATTCATTACCTTCTGGAGGTCTAAATTGATCTTTAGTCAATATCTAAAGATCTTGCAACTACCGAAAAATATAATGAATGTTGCTTATCCACATAATAGATGTGACTTATCCATATGCATTCTTCGAAAGCTTTCATTTCAAACTTTTCTTTAAGTAATTTGTAGCTTTTAAAAACTCATCAAGAGTTTCGATTCTATCGTCATAAATAGTACTAATAACAAACTCATTTTGAATTTTTCACAAATAGACAAGTTGGAATATGTTCACATCATTCTTTCAGTTGATATTAACCCTCATGTAAAGATTAATTGAATAATTTTCTTGAGAACATAATTGTATGCTTCTAAAACTCAAATTCTTCAAGGATTTTCATACATTATGATCTAGATCTATTCATGTATTGGATCGTTTGAATTTATACAAGGATTTGAATCCTTCTAAGATTCACATATAATTTCACTATAAAGTGAATCATACGTTATAGTTATATATTTCTAAAACGTACATGAAGAAGAAACTTCATTTATTACTAGATTGCCAGATTAATAAGATATGTAATTTAATCCATCATAAGATTTTATTTCTCTTTATATTGTACAAATGCCTATTTAGATAATACTAACATTACACTTCAAGTGCATAGACTAGGGATACATAAATCCCTGTTATATTGCGTCTTTTCTTTTCTGTTGGCCAACTATTTTTTGTTTGTATCTCATGACAGATTTATATATAAAATCCTTATTTGATCATGTGATATCATTAATAAAATTATTATCGACAATTTTATTCCTTTATCGGTCCCATTTTCTTTTATGACATAACCTATCGAAATCTCTTTATTGCTTTCAGACACTTAAACCTCTTCAGGGGTCGAATAGTTATGTCTTAACCTCTTTTGTAATTCATGCCTTCTTAGCATGATCATCATGATTATTTGCTCATTTTCTTTTTCTTTTTTTTGAACCGATCATAATCTTATGCTTTTAGCATATCTTCAAGAATAGGAGCACTTT